GCTGGGTAAGCGAGAGCTCCTCTTCGGCGCCTGTTGCACGAGGAATTGTCCTGAGCCTCATCCCATTTAGTGCTCCCTTCCATCGTTTGCCTTTTCTATCATGCGTACGTAGGTCGATCGCACCAGTTTTTCTTTTACTCGATTTTCCCCTCCCTTTGTCTTATGTTTTGATTTAAAAAAATATAAATCTACAACAATTTTACGGATTTTAAATAAAAGATTCATGAAGAAATAATTCACAGATTTGCAAAAGCTCATGGAATGAAAAAAATTCAAGGATTTGAAGAAGGTAATGAGTTTTAAAAAAGTTCAAAATAAATAGTTTATAGATTTTAAAGAAAAACATAATGAATTTGAAAAAAATCCTCAATTTTGAAAAAAGTTTGAGGATTCAAAAAAATTAATTAATTTTAAAAAAGCATGACAAAGTGAGAAAAGTTCACAGATTTTGAAGAGAAAAAATCATGAATTTGAAAAAAAAAGTTCATCGGTTTTGAAATTTCTCATATTTGAAAAAAATGTCGCGTATTGAAAGAAAAATCGCAAGTTTGGACATAGTTCACTGATTTTGAGAAAATATTCACTAAAAAATTGCTAAAAAACTGAAAACGTTCACTTAAAAGTTTGCAAAAATCTCAAAAAAGATCAATGATTTGGAAAAAGTTCATGAAATTTAGATAAAAGTTCTTTAATTTGAAAAAAATTGAAAAAAGAAGAGGAAAACTTGAAAACAAAAAATACCAGAAGAAAATACCGGCTAGGAAGCTTCCCAAAACCGGGGAAGAATCTTCCTCTCATGTGCTCGATGGGCCGGCCCATTTAGTAGCGAAGGGGGAAGGAGGGAGTGTGCGCTTTCTAAAACAATAGCCTTTAACTAGCGCTTAAGGCCCCAAATAGGCGTCGGCTGGATAAGCTAGCTATGTATGTACGTACTCTCTCCGTCCGCAAATAAGTGTACATCTAGTTTTTTTTTTCTAAATTAAACTTTTAAAATTTCAGCCAATTTTATAAGAAAAAATTGCAGCATTTATGGCACTAAATTAGTATCACTAGATTCATTTTGAAATGTAGTTTCATAATAGGACTGTGCTAACAACCAGTCGACTGGTCGTTAGCGACAGATCCGCACAACTAGTTCCCATGCTATCTTCCCACGCTTGCTTTCTACCAATTTTTTTCCTTCTCTCAAAAACCATGGTAAATCGCTAGTGATTTTTTCTGGTTTTTCATCACATAATATGAAAATAAAATAAAAATGCTTGAAAGAGGATTCGAACCTACGTCTATGCAATACCTATTGAGCCTAATAACCAACTAAGCCACCTTTTGTCATTGTCTATTGTAGATAAACAATATTATTTGAACATTTCTTATTTCTGCCATATCAGAAAAAATAAAGTTTGTCTTGGTAACTTTGGCATGACCAGCATGATAACTATGATATGAGCAACATGATAACTATACCATGATAAGGCTGATAACTACAGTACGAGAAGGTTAAGGCATGAGGAAGTATAAATTACCGATGAAAATGTTTAAAAAACTTTTTTCCCTTTGGATGAAGGATACCATGGTGTTTAAAACGTAAGATATTAGTTATCAAATCTGTGATGTATACATTATCATGCTTTTTACATAGAAATTACCGGTTGTATATTTTTCAACAGAAAAATCAAAAATTATAATGGCGTTTATATGTGAGTTATCAGCTTAGTATGTGTCTATTAATAAGCTATTTACATATAAATTACCGGGGTTGCCCCCCCCCCCCGCCACCCCTCGCCACAATCGTCACATTTATCACGGTCGGGTACATAAATTATCAAGTCTGCGATGTGTGAGTTATCATGTTATTTGCATAAGAGTTATCGTGGTATGATTCAACAACTCCTCCCACCCTACCCCCGCTGATAAAGTTATCAGGATTTGGTACATAATTTATCATTTCTACAATGTGCGACTTATCATGTTATTTGCATAGAAGTTACCGTGGTATGTTTCAATGACTCCCCCCAACCCCAACCCCACCGACAAAGTTATCAGGACTGGGTACATAATTTAATGTCTATGATTTGTGAGTTATCATATTATTTGCATAGAAGTTATCGTGATATGTTTCAACGACTCCCCCACTCCGGCCCCTCCGACAAAGTTACCAGGACTGGTACATAATTTATCATGTTTACGATGTGTGAGTTATCATGTTATTTGCATAGAAGTTACTGTCGTACGTTTCAACGACACCCCCACCCCGACCCCTCCTACAAAGTTATCAGGTTTACCATGTATGAGTTATCATGTAATTTGCACATAAGTTACCGTGGCATGTTTCAGCGACTTGCCCCACCCCCATCCTCGCAGGACCGGGGTACATAAGTTATCAGGTCCGCCATGTTTGAGTTATCATGTTATTTGCACAGAAGTGACCATGGCATGT